CAACGTCAACGCCACCACCTCAATCGGCGTCAACTTCAACTTTGATGCTAACGTCTACGCCAACGCCAACGTCAACATCAACGTCAACTTTAAAGTCAACGTCAACGCCACCACCTCAATCGGCGTCAACATCAACTTTGAAGCTAACGTCTACGCCAACGCCAACTTCAACATCAACTTTAAAGTCAACGTCAACGCCACCACCTCAATCGGCGTCAACTTCAACTTTGATGCTAACGTCTACGCCAACGCCAATGTCAATGTCAACTTCCGCGTCAACGTCGACTTTGAAGTCAACGTCCACTTCAAATGTGACGCCAACGTCTACGCCAGCGCCAACCGCAAAGTCACCAGCAACGGCGACGCCGATTGCGGATCGGACGTCGGTTTCGGTGCGCTGGCCCGAGGATCGTCCGGAACAGGTTGTTGGAGACAGACGAGCGGACAGGACGACACAACATCTGGTCACAACTGGCATGACGACAGAATCGGTCGTCCGAGCCGTCGAGCAGACGATTTCGAGAGACCATCCTACCACTTGCCCCGACGACAATTGGTCCAAAATGGCGCCCACTTGCGTCGGACCGGCTCTTGGCGAAACGGACACCGGCCGACCGGTCTCGGACGTCCACGTGGCCGACAGCCGATTGGCCGCCGAAGAAGAAGAAGATCTGCCAGACGAGACCGGCTCCGGCGACACGCTGTCCAAAGCCGGGCCCAGCTGCGTCGCCGGATCATACGCAACCGGATCAAGAAACAGTCTGCTTCTGGAGGCGGTAAAATCGGATCTCTCCACGTGGAAGCACGCACAGTCGACCATCGCCGGTGACTCCAACTTTGACCTGTCCGAAGTGAGGCGGCGACCCATCCGCGAGCACATCCACTTCTCGTCAAGCCCTCGTGACGACGCGCTGACTCAGGTGGGTACCTCGCCGTCAACACACATGCATACATACATACATACATACATACATTCATACACATATACATACATACATACATACATACATACATGAATACATACACACATAAATACATACATACATACATGAATACATTCATACATACATACATGCATACATACATACATACATACATACATACATACATAAATAAATACATACATACATACATGAATACATACACACATAAATACATACATACATACATGAATACATTCATACAT